CCGAGCTGTCCCCAGGTGGGTGCCGATGAATTTTGGGCTGTGTTTGAGATTTCCTAGAGAGAATGTGGGAGGGAAAAGAGGCCTGAGATGCAGTGCTGGGAATCACTCATATTAAGGGATTGACAGAAGAAGCAAGATTCAAAAAGGAGAGTGAGCAAACTCAGAGGCGGTGGGATGACCAGAAGGGCGGTACACAGAAACTTAGGGGCCAAGTGACTTCTTTTTAAAATTTTATTAGGGGCGCCTGGGTGGCTCATTGGGTTAAAGCCTCTGCCTTCGGCTCAGGTCATGATCCCAGGGTCCTGGGATCGAGCCCCACATAGGGCTCTCTGCTCAGCAGGGAGTCTGCTTCCCTTCCTCTCTCTCTGCCTGCCTCTCTGCCTGCTTGTGATCTCTGTCTGTCAAATAAATAATAAATAAAATCTTTAAGAAAAGATTTTATTTATCTATTTATTTTGAGAGATAGAGAGAGCAAGCAGGGGTGGGGAGAGAGAGAATCTCAGGCAGGCTTTGTGCTGAGCTCGGAGCCTGACTCGGGGCTCCGTCTCACAGTCCTAAGATCATGACCCGAGCCAAGGTCGAGAGTCGGGTGCTCAACCAACAGCCGCCCAGGTGCCGCCAGAGTCACTTTTGAGGAAGGGAGCCGTCTGCAAGGCCTGACGTCTTACAGAGGCCTCTGAAGGGAACTGAAAAAGCAAACTCTGGATATCCTGATTTCTGAGACCACATCAGTGTTTTGTAAATTGGGAGGCAACGTCAGCCTAGGCATACACTTAATACGATGTCCCCTCAAGAAGCTGTTATTAAATCGATGTAAATCATATAACCAGGACTTCTTAGAATTGAGGAATGCCATAACTGGTGATCTTAGTAAAAGCAGTTTTACTTCCAAGGTGAGAGGCCAAGACTACTGCAGTAGGCTGAGCAGTGAACCAGCGTGTGGGGCTGAAAACCCCAGGAGGCCTGCGGAGGGAGGAGCAGGAGGCTGAGGGCAGGCTCGGTGCACAGGGAAGGGCCAAGCATCGATTGAGGCCTTTGAGTTTTGTGGCTTTTCTTACTGTGAACTTAGAGTAGATCAAGCATCACTGTGAAAAGGATGAATTTTCCTTCTGTTTTGTTTACCATGTGCCTGAGTGGGGCATCTGGGTGTGTGTAGTGAGCCAAGTACGGGTCCAAGCTTCAGGGCAGAGGAGTGGGGGTCATGACGAGGCAAGGGGAATATGAAATAGATGAGGACAGTAGGAGGGAGACTGCGTGTGTCCTGATGGAGGTCGGGTGCAGTGAGGGGATGCTCTCCGCTCTGCTGGTCTATCTGTGAAAGTTCTAGAAAAGGGTTAGCCTTTTCAAGGCAGATACCATGAGAGAGGACAGTGGTTTGGTGGGCTGGGACATAAGCATTTTGCAGGCAGAGTTTATATTTATTTATATGTCTTTTTTAAAAAAGATTTTATTTATTTGACAGAGAGAGAAAAGTCACAAGCAGGCAGAGAGGCAGACTAAGGGGGAGGGGGAAGCAGGCTCCCTGCTGAGCAGAGAACCAGACACGGGGGGCTCAATCCCAGGACCCTGAGATCATGACCTGAGCCGAAGGCAGAGGCTTAACCCACTGAGCCACCCAGGTGCCCTATTTATATGTCTTACTGAAGAAACTGTGAGGTCAGAAAAATAAGTGTGTACAGAGGATCTATGGGCAGATGAGGATAATAATAATAATAATAATAGAAGATAAAGTAGTTACTTGGTGCTTCCTGTTGTAGGCACTTTATTTGTATTAGCTTGTTTAACTCTTAACCACAGGCCTTTGATGTAGAAACTGTTATTATCCCCATTTTACAGGTGGGTGAACTGAGGTTCAGAGTGACTAAGGTAGCCTGCCCGGGTCACTCAGCCTAGGAGGTCCCAGAGCTGGGATTTGAGTCAGGCAGCCTGGTTCCAGAGGCTTGTTCAGGAGGGACGAGTGGAGGCGGGGGGGTGGGTGGTTGGGGAGTGGTCCACGATGGTGAGGTGTCCCGCACGCTCTCCTCCTCCTCGTGCGGTGTGAGGCTGGGCGGAGGCATGCAGGGACTCAGGGCACAGTAGAGCTTGCGTATTGGAGGTCAGGCCACAGGAGGTCAGCCACGATCCTGCCTCTGAGGGAGGTGGGGGTGGGGGGACAGGTACTGACCCTGAGATGTCAATTGCTGTACCAAGACGTTTATTAGGGAGTGCTCTTGGGATCCACACCTAGGGAAGGGCAGGGAAGGGAAAGGAAGCAGGATTGGGCAGAGGAAGAAGTTTGGTTGTATCGAAGCCTCAGCCTGTTCCCCAGGAGAGCTTTGGGGTGGGAATAGCCTTTCTGTGTTTTCCCAAGTTGGGGAGTTGGGACATCGGGGCAGTAGAGCTGGGGCTCTCTGGAGCTGCCCTCCTGCTCTCATTCATTGCTGTGGCACTGCCCCTGCCCTGGTGCCAGGCATGCCCCTAGCCCGGCAGTGTGCTGTCTGTCCCCAGAAGGGCTGGTGGCTGAGGGCCTTTGTCTGGCAGAGAAGTCCCAGCAGCTGGAAAACTAGTCCTTCATCCTGAAGAGAGATCCTGCTCGAGCATCCTGCCGCACATCATAGGTAGCAAGCTGTAAAATTTGAGGATCTTAAAAAAAGAGTTCCCATCATCAAAGAAGAGGAAGCTGACTGGGGCGAAAATCGAAACATTTCATTATCAGCATTCCCAATAACAGCTGAGTAAGAATGTCAGTGTGCCCAGTTTTCAATTAAGTGAGGGCTGTGTGATTTAATTTCTTGTCTCTCATTACGTTTGGTTGTAAATTTGACATTAAAATGTAATGCCCAATATTGTACAGATACAATGTAATAATACTATTAGAGATAATTCACAGGTGAAATGGACCTGACTTTTAAAAGAATAACATTTATTGTGTAGTCTGCCCCCGTTAAGCCACGGCTTTTCTAAGAAACAGCATGGCTTATAAAAGTATGGTATAAAAAGGGGAAAAAGGGCATCTGGGTGGCTCAGGCAGTTAAGTGTTAGACTCTTGGTTTCGGCTCAGGTCATGATCTCCGGGTCGTGAGACAGAGCCCCGTGTCAGGCTCCCTGCTCAGCGTGGAGTCTGCTTGTCCCTTCCCGTCTGCTCCTTCCCCCAGCTCGCTCTCTCTCTGATAAATAAAAAATCTTTAAAAAATAAAGTAAAAAGGGAGAAAAGACAGTGTAGGGGGAAGCTGTGTGCTCATCTGAGCTCTGGTCTTTTATAGTTATGAAAACAAGGGCTAGCCCCTTAACTTTTTAGATAAAATTTTCTCATGTAAAATGGGAGAGAGAGAACACTTAATCTGGACTAATTCACAGTGTTGTGTCAAGTTGAGATAAATGTATAAAAGTATTTCTAAAATTTAATTTAATTTAATTTATTTAAAGATTTTATTTTATTTTATTTGTCAGAGAGAGAGAGAGAGAGCACAGAGGGAGCCGTAGGCAGAGGCAGAGGGAGAAGCAGGCTCTGTGCTGAGCAGGGAGCCTGATGCAGGACTCAGTCCCAGAACCCCAGGATCATGACCTGAGCTGAAGGCAGATGCTCAACCGACTGAGCTACTAGGCACCACTGTATAAAAGTACTCTTTATATATTAGTTCAAAAACAAAACCAAAAACCCTCAAGGACTTTAGAGAACATCTAGTTCAAACCTTTCGTGTTTCAGGTGAGAAAAGGGAGCCTCAGAAGTCACAAGACCATATTCAGTTATGTGAGTAATCACATAGAGGAAGAATGTGCTCGCATTAATCTAAGGACGACGGACTCTTAGAATTATAACGAACGCACACTTGGTGGTTGAGCGTGGAAAACACGAATGGGACGTTTGTGCAAGTGCGGGTCTGCGGCAGAATCTGGCTCTCCCAGAGTCCGTCTCTGGTGCTGCTTGTCGAGTGCTGGACCCCCTGCCCGGCCACTGGCCAGTGGTGGTCGCACTTGGTTAGCCCTGCCCCCCCCTCCCCCTGCCCCAGCCCTTCACCCAGTACACACCACGTCTTCCTTTCCTTCTCCACTGGGCGGGGGGGGAGATTCTTGGGGGAGGATCTCGCCCAGTCCTGGTCCTGGCTCCCTCTCAGGCCCGGCTGTGTGATCTTAGGCACGATTCTTTCCTTCTCATTGGCTTGGTTCCTCGTGTAAAACTGGATAATAACACTTGTCCTGCTGATCTGTCATGCTTCTTTCAAGGATCAAACGATGTAATGTGTGTGAAAACACTTTAAAAAGCACAAAATGCCCTACAAATGTCAAGTGTTGTTATTATCCTCATTATTGCTCCTCCCTCCCTCCCTCCCTCCACGACTCCCTGCTTCCTGTCTCCCCCCCCTTCCCCCACTCCCCGCCTCCCCTCCCCGCCTTCCCAGTCTCCAGCTTTGCTGGCTTCCTGCCAGGAGTGTCTGACAAGTGGTTGCAATTAATTATTTGTTGAGAAGCTTTCTCCGAACCATGAAATGTCATTGCGGAAGCTGTTCTCGGACGAGTAGGAATCCAATTAGATTATTGGGAGTTGCTGGGGCTCCTGGGGGGCTCAGTGGGTGAAGCGTCTGCCTTTGGCTCAGGTCATGATCCCGGGGCCTGGGATCGAGTCCCACGTCGGGGTCTCTGCTTAACAGGAAGCCTGCTTTTCCCTCTCCCCCTGCATCTACCATGCTTGTGCTCTGTCTCTCAAATAAATATATAAAATCTTAAAAAAATTAAAAAGATTATTGGGAGTTGCAGAGGGAAACAGAACAAGTAAAAGAAATTACATTCGAAAGAAATACTTCATTTCCATTGATAATGGAAGGATTGGCCTGCGGTTATGGCAGAAAGCATTTAAAGAAAATGTTTAGGATATTGGTGAGAGGGTGTGAGACCCAGGAGGAGCTTGGATCACAGAATCTCCTCGCCTTGGAGAAGCCCTGGGAGGTGCCCAGCCTCCGAAGCCCTGTCAGCGGGGATGCTCTTCTGTCCCCTCCTGATGGGGCTGCCCCTGTCCTCCTCAGGCTCCCTGGCGCTGAGCAGGGGTGCGGTGTACACGTCGGAACCTGAAGTCTCCGTTGCTGAGAACAAACGTGAGTGTGGGGCAGCTCCGGGGTGGGGGTCTGGGGCGGGCGGGAGCAGGTGCAGGCCCCCGGGGACTTGGAGAGCATCCAGCATGGGCCACTGTTGGGGGCCATTTCCCCTTTCCCATTTGCTGCTGCTCCTTCTTCCTCTTCTCTTCTGTCCTGTCTGCAGCCGCCAAGCTGCCCTGCTCCTACTCCGGCTTCTCCTCTCCCCGAGTGGAGTGGAAGTTTGCCCAAGGTGACATCACCAGCCTCGTTTGCTATAACAACAAGATCACAGGTGAGTTGTTCTCCTTCCTTTCTGATGGCCCAGGTTGTGGAGGTACTGATGGGCCTGGGTTCCAGGGGAGAGCTGTGGCCTGGGGCTCGGGTCCCGCGGACTTCCCGTGGCCTCTCCTGCCACCATCGCCGGCTTCTCTCAGCTCTCTGGCTCATTCAGCCTGTCCTTCCTCTCTCCTGGTAGCTTCATATGAGGACCGAGTTACCTTCTCACATAGTGGCATCACTTTCCATTCTGTGACCCGGAAAGACACGGGCATGTATACATGTATGGTCTCCGACGAAGGCGGAAACACCTATGGGGAGGTCGCCGTCAAGCTCATCGTGCTTGGTATGCGCCACACCTTTTCTGTGTGGTCTTGGCATTCGCTGCTTCCCTAAACCCTCACAGGCTCTGGTGAGCTTTGGAGCTCACTGATGGTGAGAACGCTCCTGGCTGGGGGGATTCAGAGTTCCGGTGCCGGCAGAGAGGGGCTGAGCCCCTGGGTGGGGGAGGCTGAGGGCATGGTGTGGGTTGGAGGCTAGAGCTGAGGGATGGGGTATCAGCAGTGTAGCCTCTAGGCAGTGCCCTCTGACCTGGGCTCAGCCCCTTCTGTCCCTTCGCAGTGCCTCCATCCAAGCCTACTGTCAGCATCCCGTCCTCTGCCACCATTGGGAGTCGGGCAGTGCTGACCTGCTCGGAGAAAGATGGCTCTCCCCCTTCTCAGTTCTACTGGTACAAGGACGGGGTCCTGATGCCCACAGAGCCCAAGAGCAACCGAGCCTTCAGCAACTCTTCCTATAGCCTGGATCACAGGACCGGGGAGCTGGTAGGGGTGGGGTTGCGAGGGAGGGGCGGGGGCAGTTACAGAACCCTTGAGGGTGGGGAGGAATAGCTACAGGTGAATTTGGCTTCGGGGTCAAGAGACAAAAGATGGGCACTTGGACACAGAGTAGGATGAACGTTGCATAACGTGTAGAACAGTTGAGTCATTCTGTCGTACACCTGAAAGTAACGTGATGTAATTTGTCACCTCTAGTGCAGTTAAGCAAAAACAGAGGTGCGCCTGGCTGACTCAGTCGCTGGAGGCTTGCGAGTCTCGGTCTCGGAGTCGTGAGTTCAAGCTCCCCGTTGGGCGTAGGACTTAAAACACACACGGAAAAAGAAACACACGGAAAAGCAGAAGTAGGTCCTTGGCTTCTTCGGGCAGGAAGCCAACTGTTTTCTTCACTCCAGGTCTTCAACCCCGTTTCGGCCTCTGACACCGGCGAGTACATGTGTCAGGCACAGAATGGCTACGGGACCCCCATGCGGTCAGACGCTGTGCGCATGGAGGCCGGTGAGCACGGGTGTGCGGAGCGGCGGCGTGAGCTCGGACCTGGGGTGGGGGTCGGGTCTGCTTTTCTTCCTGGCTTTGGTGGTGGTGTCAGCAGTGGGAGTGAGCCGTCAGGGCCCTGACCTCTCGTTTGTGTCTCATAGCGGAGTTGAATGTGGGGGGCATCGTGGCAGCTGTCCTTGTGACGCTCATTCTCCTTGGACTCCTGATTTTGGGCATCTGGTTCGCCTATAGACAAGGCTACTTTGACAGTGAGTATCTGCCCTCAGAGGCTGTCCTTTTTATCGTCCCCCTTTCAGGGCACGGCTCTTGGGTGCCTCCTGAGCACAGAGCGGATAGTGAGCCCACACGTGCGGGGTTCTCTCCCGGGTGAGCGCCACTTACCGCCTGTGTGCTGTTTCCGTTCCCTTCCGTGTCCGGCTGGCTTCTGCCCTGCTCATGGTCCCGTTTCTTCTCTTTCAGGAACAAAGAAAGGGTGAGTGAGGTGCCGTCGTGGGGATCCCTGAGGTTGAGAACGTGGACGCCTGTGGTTTGAAGCTGAGATGGGTCCAGGGGAAGGGGTTGGAGGCGGAGGTGGGGGCAGCCACGTTTGGGCGGACATCCGGGTCTCTACCTGTCCCTGTTCCCTGTAGCCTTGTGTTTGTCCTGTCTCCCCGCACCCACACATCCCTGCTGAGAACTCTGTGCTTCTGTGAAGCTGAGTCCAGCCTACGGCGCTGGCGAGCAGAGGCTAAGGGGAGCACTAGGGACTGAGCATCTCCATCCTCTGGCTTGTCTGCAGGACCTCGAGTAAGAAGGCGATTTACAGCCAGCCCAGTGCCCGCAGCGAAGTGAGTGTGCTACCCTGGGACGAGGGGGGGGGCTTCTGGCCTGTGTCCCATGCGCGGGAGATGAGCAGCTAAAGGCCAGGATAGAGTTGATTTGATGTTTCTGTTTCCCCAGGGGGAGTTCAGGCAGACTTCGTCATTCCTGGTGTGACCCTGGTCCGGCTCATCTCCTGTCCTTTGTGCTTGCCTTACGCTGGTGCTACCAGACTCTGGCCCATGATGTCTGTACTTTCACAGAATGCCTTATGTGTCTTCTAGCCCCACAAGGGTCCCCACTTTTATCTTAGTTAGGATGTGTTTTTTTTTTTTTTTTTAATAATGTCGGCTGTGCCCCCCTTCCTCCTGCCCCCTCCTCTCTGTTCCCACCACTGCTGAGTGGCCTGGGACTTGTTTAAAGCTTTCGTTCCCCATCCCTATGAGGGATCAGGCAGGAGTCCTGATTGATGCTCGTTGACCTCCCTCCAAGTAGGCGACAACAGTGGCAGGCACTCTCTACCCACCCACCCCAACCCCCGTGTCAGGGCCCATGAGTAGTGACCTTGAGCTTATCCCGCAGCCCTTTCCTCATGCTGAGGAGGTATCTGCAGTTCCAGGGTGGAAACTGGAGACGGAGCAGCTGACAGGTTGTTTGGGGACCGCACCCAGTCTCTCCTGCCTCTGCAGCCCCCTTTGTTCTGTCTTCCCACGGGAAGTGCCACTGGGATCCTCTTGCACTGTCCTTGACACAAGCAGACCGGCACCAGCTGTGTCTTCGCGAAAAAAACAGGAGCTTTGGTTCTGTGTGGAGAGCACAGCGAGCTTCCAGGGGACACGGAGCAGAAGCGCTTTAAAACCACCGAGAGAAGAGGAAGCTGGAGCTGGAAGCTCAGACTCTCACTGTTGGCTGCGGCAGCTGCGCGGACGCTGTTGAGAGGCGTCTGCAGGGCGGTGGGAATGTGTGCAGTAGCTCATAGCCCTCTGCTGAGCGTGCGTGTGTGCCTGTGTGCGTGGTCTCAGTTGCTGAAATCCAGTGTGTGCCGGAGGGCTTCTTAGCTCTTCCGTGAGATTTTGTTGGTGTATGTTTGGATGTTGCTGGAAATAAAACCTTGGTTTATCAAAGCTTCTTGCTGTGGGAAGTGGGGAAATGAGGTTCCTGGGCTCCATTGTACAAACAGGAAGCTGCCCGAAGCTCCATTTCCCTGCAACCTGGCTTGGTCCTGGCTCCCTGTCCCACCCCTTCCTGGTTCCTGTCTCAAGGTGGAGCCTCTGAGCGTCCGACCCTCAGTCTAGAGCCCTCTTGTGGCAGCGCGAGAGCCTTCTGCTGGAGGAGTGCCCCGGGGAAGCCGAGCCTGTGCTCCGGGCTTCTGCTGGGTCTCGTCCACTGGGTGGGAGGAGAATGTGCCCACCCTCCCCCCCCCCCCCCGCCAGCCAGATGCATTACTAGACTTCTCTACGGCTGTGGGGAAACTCCAGAGCCCGAGGCAGGAGGATTCCTCAAACCTTTTGAAGAAGTCCTTCTTTAGTAGTAGTTTAAAGCAGCAATTACTACTTTATTTAAGCTGGATGGGGGGGAGGGGGAGATGCTGTTTGAGGAAAAGACAGTTTTGAGACCAGGACAGAAGACTGGATGGATGGATGGGAGTGAGCAGCCGTAAGCAAGGTGGCCTGCCTGTCATTGCTTCCTCTGTCCATCTGGAGCCTTTTTTGCCCTTAGATTTCTGTTTCCCCATCTACCACAGTCCCCCAGTCTACTAACCAGCAAGAGGGCAAGTACGGGGTTTCCCAGGGCTGATACTGCTTCTTTCTGTGGAGGACGCTGAGCCCCACTTGGCCATGTTTTATTCCCTTATCTGGAAATCCCTAACAGAATCGAGTGTTCTATCAAGAATCCAAAAGGAAAAACAAAACCAACCAGACCATCAGTTAAGGGTCATGCACCAGTAAAAAGTAAATATTCCAGATGGAAATAAAATTTAATGAAACAATAAAAGTAGAGATTATGGAACGGTTCGGTAAGAATGAGATTTTTAAAGTATGTTTCAGCTTTGTGTCTTGCTTGGGAGATGGGGGTGGGGGGGTGCGGAGAGAAAACACCACAGGAAAGCAGAGGTAGGTGATTCATTGTTCCTTTAAATCTGAGGTGAAGGGTTCCTCACTCCCTCAGTTGCTTGTGGTGAGTTGGAGTCATTTATTACCAGCCTTGGAATTTACCTCTGCAGCTTACCACAGCCTCTATGAGTTGGAAAACACCTTGTCTTGTTTTCATTTTGAAATGTCAAAACTCATTTTTGTAATAAATGTTTATTTTTCACATTGAGTTTGTTTAAAATCCTGAGGGTCTGTGTTAAAAGAAGAGGAACTTCGGAGTGACTTGGATATTCAGAATCTTCCTGATAGCCTTATTAAGAGATTTGAGGAATCCTTCCACAGAGCCTGATAATGTGTCTTAAACTTAGAGTTGGCCTGTACCTGAATGGGGTTGATGCAAATGGACATTCTCTTAAATTGAAGTAGCACCTGGGGGAAGTAGTTCTATGGAGACAGGTGTTTTGAGACACAAACCCAGTGTGATTGGGGATAAAATGATTGTCAAAGATATCGGCTTTTTTTTTTTTTTAAGATTTTGTTTATTTGACAACACAAGCGGGGGCGGGGGGGGGGGGGGGGGGGGCGGGGAGTAAGATGGGGAGGGAGAAGCAGGCTTCCCACTGAGCAAGGAGCCTGACCCAGGGCTCATCCCAGGACCCTGGGATCATTCCCTGAGGTGACGGCAGGCAGTTAACTGAGCCACCCAGGTGCCCCAGGATGTGTTCTGTCTTAACAGATTCTACAGACGGGGGCACCTGGCTGGCTCAGTTGGTGGAGCATACACCCCTTGATTTTGGGGTTGTAGGTTGTAGGTTTCAGCCCCATGTTGGATGTAAAGATTACTTAAAATCTTAAAAAGGGGTGGTTAAGTGACCAACTTTTGATCTCAGCTCCGGTCTTGATCTCAGGGTCCTGAGTTCAAGCCCTGCATTGGGCTGCCCACTGGGCGTGGAGCCTACTTAAAAAACAACCTTAGAACAGAATCTATAGAGGAAGGACAGGAGGGAAATAGGTTTGGTCCATTTCAGAATGAAGGGACAAGTATGTTTTATGGAGGTATGGGGACAACTTAAGGGGAATAAGTGAAGAAAAATGCAACTTTAAGGAAAAAAAGCTCTAGTTCTGTAGATCCTCTGATTTATTTACCCCTTTGGTATTAGCTGTAAAAATTTAATGAACAGAGAATTTTTCTTTCTTGAGGGGTAACTTGTTGAATGATTATTATCACCCATTCAATTATTTACTGGGTATTACCAATTTCCCTATTGCACAGATAGGGGAAAGAGGCACAAACGCTAAGTAACTTGCCCAAATCCACAACCAGTATTCGGCAAGTGAAAGGTCTGGGATTCAAGAGAGCTGGGAGAGAAGGTTCCGGAATGGGAAAGAATTCGAAAAGAGGAGGAGGAGCTGGAAACAAGTTCACTTTCTTTTTAGGAGTGGATGTGTGGGTGTTAGGAGAGAGGACATTGAAAGTAATGATGTCCACCTGGGCTCCCTGCCCCCCCGCCCCCAACTGTGACTGTCACTTTAGTCTGACATCCCAAAGCACCTATAGGACAGAATAGCCTATGAGTGCCACCTTCTGGAATGAAGGATAAAGCCACTGCATGTTTGCCAGTGACAGAGGCAAGGCGTGCATATATTTGTGGACAGCAAAGAGGAGCAACATCAGCTTGCAGAATGAGAATTCAAAAACATCTCGATGGAACAAACGTGGTTACCAGAGGGGAGGGGGGTGGGGGCTGCGGGTGAAACAGGTGAAGGGGAGTGAGTCCATCTCTCTTGACTGCTGAAATACACGAAGTTGCTGAATCATTATATTGTGCACCTGATAATATGACACTGTATTAGCTACACTGGAATTAAAAATAAAATCTCAATAGGCAGGAATGATCTTACAGACTTACACTCGATCTTACAGACCAAAATTCAATAGTAGTAAGTGTAAGATTCTGCCTTTGGGTCCAAAAAGTCAACTGGTCACAAATAAAGATGGGAAGATGTAGAACATCTGGAACTAGGCAGTCTGCTGATGGCATTTACCCCCGTATCAGCTTCTTGAGGTGCCACACTTCAAGATCTTGGACTATAGACCAACTGGAACCTGTTCATAAACGTGATGTGGATGGTATAAAAGAGTCGACGGCAAGGTAAGAGTCAAAGACTCTAGGAAGACAAAATTATGGCCTATAGATATTTAAAGATTACTGTATGGATGGCTCAAGGAAGAAAATTAGGACCAGTGGCTGGATGTCCGAAGAAGACGGGTTATAATTCAGACTGTGCTCTTCAGAGCTCTCAGGAGCATGGTGAGTGCCAGCTTTGGAGTCGCAGACCTTGCTTGACTCCCCCCTTTGATGTTGGCAGAGTTTTCTCTGTCAGTCTCTTGTCACCTAACAAATGGTGATAATACCCAGCCTATGATGTTTTTAGAAGCAAATGAGGCAAGATCTGGAAAGCACTTTATGTTACATCACACAAGAGCTGAGCATGATTGCTTTCAAACTGGGTATTTTAAGCCAGAGGTTGGCAAACTTACAGCAAATGACCAGAGAATAAAATTTTTATTACTATTACAAAAGTTTATTTAACAAAAAATTTCAATAAGAAATGTGCTTGACCTAATTTTTATATTGCATTAAAACGTGCTGTAGGGGGATGCCTGGGTGGCTCAGTTGGTTGAGCAGCTGCCTTCGGCTCAGGTCATGGTCCCAGCGTCCTGGGATCGAGTCCCGCATCGGGCTCCTTGCTCATCAGGGAGCCTGCTTCTCCCTCTGCCTCTGCCTGCCATTCTGTCTGCCTGTTTTTGCTTTCTCTCCCTCTCTCTCTCTGACAAATAAATAAATAAAATCTTTAAAAAAAAAAACAACCCCCCCCCCCCAAAAAAAAAACCGTGCTGTAGGAAGAAAACATGGAAGCATCTGATTTCTCTGGTTTATATTCTGGTTTAGTTCATACTCTGTGGAAGGCTTCTACTGTGATCATAGTCTTTCCTCCAATTATCATCATTCCAATGTTGCTCTGTCTCCCACAGGTTGCCACTTCTCACACTCATCCCTCACAGAATTCATGAAGGGGTCCAATCACGATATTCCTTAGACATAGCTACTACCATTTAATTCCAACGATAACTTCTTGCCCATAAATTTTTCCAGCTCAGCATGTGGGCATTCACCCAGCAAGCTCAAAGATACCTTCAAAGAAATTTTTTTAAACTTTTAGACATACAGTCTCTATACAACTTTATATAGCAAGAAAACATGTATAGACCGTGAATGAACATGGCTGTGTTCCATTAAAACTTCATTTATGCACACAAAAATGTGAATTTCATAATTTCCATGCCATAAAATAATGACCTTTTGATTTTTTCCCCCATTATATAGAAATGTAAAAACCAATCTTAGACCCTAGGCTGCACAAGAACAGGTGATGGGTCAGCCGTTAGTATTTTACTTGAGGTTAAAAGAAAGTGCCCAAGCCCATCTTTTTCTAATTAAGTTATTTTATTATTTTTTAAATGATTTTTGGTTACTTAGGCATTTATTTATTTATTTAAGAAAGAGAGAGGGAGAGCATGTGCATGCACTCCTGAGCAGAGGGGGAGAATCCCAAGCTCAGTCTTAGGACCCTAAGATCATGACCTGAGCTGAAGACAAGAGTTGGACACTTAATTGAGCCACCCAGGTGCCCCTTCTAATTAAGTTATTTTAATTTCAGTATAGTTAACATACAGTGTTGTATTAATTGTAGGTGTACAATATAGTGATTCAACAATTCTATACATCACTCAGTTCTCATAAGTGGTAACTCCATTTGTTTTTGTTTTTTTTTTTAAAGATTTTATTTATTTATTTGACAGAGAAAGATTACAAGTAGACAGAGAGGCAGGCAGAGAGAGGGAAGCAGGCTCCCTGCTGAGCAGAGAGCCCGATGCGGGACTCGATCCCAGGACCCCGAGATCATGACCTGAGCCGAAGGCAGCGGCTTAACCCACTGAGCCACCCAGGCGCCCCACTCCATTTGGTTTTGAATGCAGACTAAGATTCCTTTGGTCCAGGTCTGTAACTTCTCTGGGGAGAAAGGAACTCAAGACAGAGTGGGTGGTAGCAGCTGGACAAGTATAAAGTGAAATCATCACAGGGTGCAGGAGAGAAAGGAGGGAAGGGGGAAATCAATATGCCAGTGAGAAGTGATGGGGGAGGAAGGTCTAACTTATGGAGAGATCCATACCCATTGAGTTATTTTATTTTATTTTATTTTATTTTTAAAAAGATTTATCCACTCATCTTAAAGAGAGTACAAGCAGGGGAAGAGGCAGTGGG